GGAATAGAGATTAAAAGGAAGAAGGTTTTCTTCCCAGAATTGTAAGCAAACCATATACAACCATCCCTTTCTCATCATCATCATTCTCCCTTCATCAAGTCTTCTCTCTTTTCTCTCTCTATTATAAAAACAAACTTCACTCGTTCACATCAATTAATCGATCCTTGAGAAAGACAAACAAGTACAAACTCTAACAAAAGAAATGAGGAAACCAGAGGGAGCAATTGCAACCAGTACTCATCAAGTAAAGAAGATGAAGAAGGGACTTTGGTCTCCTGAGGAAGACTCAAAGTTGATGCAATACATGATAAGCAATGGCCAAGGATGTTGGAGCGATGTAGCGAAAAACGCAGGCCTTCAAAGATGTGGCAAAAGTTGTCGTCTTCGTTGGATCAACTATCTTCGTCCTGACCTCAAGCGTGGTGCTTTCTCTCCTCAAGAAGAAGATCTCATCATTCGTTTTCATTCCATCCTCGGCAATAGGTTTATATTCTTACCACCATTTTGTTTATTTCACATGGTAACAAGTTTTTTTTAAGTATAAGCTAACTAGTGGATCTATTTTGTTTTAGTAAACTAGCATTTTTCAAGTGAATCTTGCTTTTAAATTGTTGGTTAATTAATGGGTAAAATGTACAAAAGCATAGGAAGCCAGCCAACTGATCTAAAACAAAAGTCCACCTTAAAACGACCAAATTGTTGAATTAGCTCTTAAATTATGTTTTTCAAGTATTTTTCTACCGGTTAGTTTAAGAAGTAAGCTACCTATATATATAGAGAACAAAAATATACATGAATTATGTCCACTTAGGATTCACTATTGCACTGCGATACGTAATACTGTGTGTATTGCTATAATCCTGTGAATAGGATCTACTATAAGATACATACATATATGATCTTAACATGTATAAAATATTTATAACCGAACTTCGAGTGGAAGGATCAAGTTTGGTTTGAATTTTCATTAGCACGATAACTGTTTACATTCAAAGGGATGAATGATTGTTTGTGAAGAAAATTGAGCCAATAGAAAGTTTGATTATATAATAATAGTAACAATAGAAAAATAGACGCAATGAACCAAATTAGGTATGAGTACATTCACATGTAACTATGTGAGTGGTCAAAGTTCGTTAATCGTGGCTGTTAAGACTTAAGAGTGCGTTCTAGTTGTCTCTTTACCACATTTTGTTGTCTTCTTTAGGGTTTTACTTCAACTTTCATCTTTTTAATTATACATTTATTAGTTTTTTTCTGTCACTTTCCCAAGAAATATATATATATCTAGGATTGTATACGCAAGACATGTTCCCCTAATATATATTTTCTTTCTTTTGTAATATAATATTTTCTTTGTTTGAAAATATATACCGTTTTGATGTTTTGATATTTTTACGTGAATTAATCATACAATTAAATATAAAATTATGTCCATAATAGTTTTTTTACAAATAGTAGTAGTGTCATCTTTTGTTATTTTTCATTAGTTTAAGTAGACATAATTTATAGATATATTTAGTCAAAATTTATATTTAAATCATAAAAACAACAATTTTGTTTTAA